GCCCACCTCCTATTCAGAGCCGTGTTAGTTTCTTGTACAGGTTTGGGTAAAGTTTGCTTGAGCGAGTAGTTCTGCCAAATATTCAAAATCACCTCTGCTGGTTTTTGTGGCTTCTTAGATGTTCCAAAAAACAGTCTCATTTCTCCAACTCCATAATTTCCAGATAGCTACGCCCCATAAACATTTCCAGTCACCAGTTCCGGACTTACCCAGGTCACTTGTCAGGTTGAGATCAAACTATTGTTTCAGAGAGAAGATGAAAAAATTAGCTAAATACCTTTGTTGTAGCATTTCAGTCCACATATTCCTAGCATAATCACAATCTCTCAATATGTGTAGGAGAGTTTCTGTTTCAGCATTGCAAGAGGGACAGATTGCCGACACAGGGGACCAGCTGCTTCTCCACGCATTTGTTGGGAGTCTATCATGATAAGCTCTCCATAGGAATACTTGGATCCTCTCCACCCCTTCCCACTTCCAGATATGTTTATAGATGGGATTATAGTGACTAGTGTGGTTCTTCTCAATCATAAAGTAAGCACTTTTAATGCTAAATTTATTATTAGACGTAGCATTCCACACCATCAGATCATTTCCTGCTTCCTCACAAGGTGGCAGACAACTGATTAGATATTGTAGAGCATTGCTATTTAAAAATTCCTCAGCTTTCTTCAAGTCCCATCCTCCATTAAGGGTCCAATCAGCAACATTAGTTTCCATTTCTTTATCCGTCAACTCCTTCACACACATATGCTTTAATTCCTTATTTGGAAAGAGCCATTTATCATTGAAGAAATTAATGAATTTCCCATTACGTAACCTCCACCTTGTTCCTTCTTCAAGCACATCTCTTTGATGGAAAATAAATTTCTAGATTTTCGAGTCACCATTCTGGAAAGTGAGCAGGTTTGCTTCATCACGCAACATGTTTCTGTTATTTAGAACTTGTATCCATAGATTCTTGCCATCCATTATTAAATTCCAAGCCAATTTTGCGCCACAAGCTCGGTTGACTGAAGCTAGATGCCTGAAACCAAGTCCCCCATATTCTTTAGGTCGGGTAAGCTGATTCCAACCTATCGGATGATAAACTTGTTCACCTCGTCTCTGCCCCCATATTAAATTCCTTTGGAGCCTTTCCACCTCATCACAAACCTTTTTGGGTATCTGAGCCACTAACATTGGGTATATTGGAACAAAACTTATTACCGATTTTGATAAGGTAATTCGCCCTGCTATTGATAGGCTCTCAACTTTCCAGGCTGCCAATTTAGATTTCACCCTATCAATGATATAATAAAAATTCTCAGTCTCTTTTCTTTTCTGCATCAGAGGGAAACCCAAATATTTCCCAATATCATCAGAAATCTTCATATGAGTAATTGCCTTTACTTTATTCTTCACTTTACAAGGGACTTTAGGCGAGAAGAAAATAGAAGACTTACTTGTATTAATCTTTTGACCCGAGGCCTGTGAGAAATCATCCAAACATTTCATCATGCACAGCACTTGCTTTTCTGATGCTTCCCCAAAAAGGAGTAGATCATCTGCAAACATTAAGTGAGATATAGCTGGCCCTTCTTGTTCACCAAATAACTTGACCGCAAGTAGACGGGTCACAAGTAATATAAAAAGTATCGTTCCCTCAGAGACTAAGGCTAGATGAGTTGAAAATCATAATTGTATACTTGATTAGGTTAAATGAAACAATTGTTGTAAAAGAGTTTGTGAAATGAAATTAGGAAAACAATGGTTTAAAAGCAGTATAAAATCAACTCGACCTTGAAACAATTAAGAGACTAGGGTTATTCTTCACTAAAGTACTTCACGAAACTGGGTTAATTACTTCTCAAGTAGTGCTTTACAATAAGTTCAGTTAGCCTGGGTTTGCAGAATTGATTAAGCTTTCTCAAGTCAAAACCAAATGTTTGTAATCACTATTAAAACACAGCAATCTCTTGCACTTGTTTGAAAAGGTTGCATTAAAAACCAAAACCCATTTAGTCTATGCTAGGTCAACAGATACATCTCTGCTCTATCGACAAACCATCTATTCACTCAATTAAATTTCTGGATTAGCATCTTTTTACCAAAGTTCACGAATTAGTTTAACTTTTTCAAGTTAAACTAATCAATCAATCAATTCAAATGATGGCCAGACAAAAGGAAGCATTAAGCTCAAAGTAAAAACAACTGAATATTATCATTAACACTCAAGAGATAGTAAACCAAGTATCAATCCATACAATAGATCAAAATAACCTTAGAAAAACGGATTTAGCTATACATATCAAGTAAAGAACTACAACTATAAGAGTAGCTAGTAGTCATAGCAGAAACAAGAAGGGAAGAAGAAGAAAACCCAGAAAATTCAAGTTACAAGCTTCGAATCTCTTCTAACTTTAAGTCCAAAGGTTCCAAGCCTCCAAAACTCCAAACCCTAGCAGAGCTAGCCTCCACAATTGCTCCAAAGTCAAAGTCTCTCAGAAAAACTGAGTATCCACCTCTATATGCCCTAATTTTTTAAGTTACAACGTAAAACGCACAGCTACGAGGGGCCAGGCGCCGCGGCGGATTCCTTCAGGCGTCGCGACGCCTATTACAGAATGGCTTTCCTTTTGAGGCTCCGGCGCCGCGGCGCATGTGATAATCGGCCGCGGTAGATTATACTGAATAGGTTCCTCCGAGACAGCTTGGGCGCCGCGGCGGATTCAGTAAGGCACCGCGGCGCCTTTTACAGAGACGCGCTCCTCCCTTTCTGTTTGAGCCGTTGCGGCGTTTTCTCCCAGATGCCACGGTGGCTGGCTTCTTTTCAGCTTTTCTCCATTCTTTACTCTCCTCAGGCTTTGTTTCCTGCAAAATTGACTTTCAAACCCAATAAAAGAGCGTTAAATTAGCTTAACTCAATAGAAATTTTGAGAGGTTATCACTTCTCTACTAACCTTTATAGGCTTCCATGAGTTGTCATTCACTGCATCCATTATGACATGAGATAATCTGTCCATACACAAAACAAAGAGTAGGGGAGAAATAGGATCTCCTTGCCTCAATCCTCTTTGTGGTATGAAAAAATCTGTTTGGTTCCCATTCCATAGCACATTATAAGAGACATTCGCAATACAAGCCATTACTAAATTAATAAAGGCTTCCTCCAAACCAATATCAACTAGTACTTGCCGTAGGAACTTCCAATCCATTCTATCATAAGCCTTTTCCAGATCTATTTTCATTGCCAGTAGACCTTTTTTCCCTTTTGCTTTTTTCATAATATGCATAATCTCCTGCCCAATTATAATATTGTCCTGTATATTCCTCCCTTTAATAAAGCTTGCTTGAAAGGGAGAAATAATTTTATCCATAACAGTTCTCAACCTGCAAGTGATAATCTTTGTTATGCATTTATAGTGCACCAAACATAGAGAAATGGGTCTAAAATGGGAGACTAACTCAGGATTATCTCTCTTAGGAATTAAGGAGATAAGAGTTTTGTTTGAGTCAGCCACAGAGATTTCCCCTTTAAAGACTCCTTTGACAAAGTCACAAACTGAACTACCCACCACCTGCCAATTACTTTGAAAGAAGATGGGTGAAAATCCATCAAATCCTGGAGCTTTATATGGGCCTATAGAGAAAATAGCATTCTTAATCTCTTCGTTCGTTGGTATATTTCCCAGAATACTCAGAATATCATTATTGATTACTGGAAACATAGTCCTCGTATGAAGACATTTACCATTGAAGTCATCCAAAGAGAAAAGCCTTTTGAAGTAACTAGTCACCAGATTTTTCAATTAAGCTTCGTCATCAATCCATAAACCGTCATCATTTTTAAGCGTAATCACCCTATTCCATTTCCTCCTCATACTGGTCCTAAGGTGATAAAATCTAGTGTTTCTATCACCTTGGCTGATCCAAATGGATCGAGCTTTTTGGAACCATTTTATTTCTTCTAATTTCAACACTTCATCTAGTTCTTTCTGCAACTCTACTTCCATATTACAAAGAAACTTTGAGTACGGGTAATCATGAGACTTTTGGATACCAGCCAGACGTGCTAAAATGCCCTTTTTCTTTTGTTCCACAAGACCAAAAACATTCCTATTCCAAGATAGGAGAGCGTCTTTCAGATCATTTAGATTCAGATTAATATCTTTTCCATTTGACCAATTTCCTTTAATGAAGGAGGGAAAATCATCATGTGTCAGCCACATAGCCTCAAACCGAAATGGTCTACCATCTTTTTTTTTCAAACTGTTTCTCTTCAATAAAAAGAGTAATGGGGTTATGATCTGAGAAAGAAGTTCTCGGTAATACCTTTAAGAAAGAGGTGCCGAAGGTAGCAAGAAATGCTGAATTGACTAGTGCACGATCTAGTCGTTCATAGAGACTCATACTCCGCAACATCATTGGCTCTTTCCAAGTAAATCGGGGTCCTTTAAAACCTAGGTCTGAGAGCTTGCATCGTGAAATTTGATCACTGAACCATCGAATTCTACTAGTTGGCATTGCAGCTCCTCCAACTCTTTCTGAGGCTGAAGCTATATCATTAAAATCCCCATAGATGACCCATGGCTCTGTAATTGAATCAGAGAGTCTAAATAGATCATCCCACATAACTTTCCGTAAATTTGAGTGGGGTATTGCATAGACCGCGGTAAGTAGGAAGCTGGGCTTTCCAGTGAACGTGCATCTTAAATGAAAATACTGCCGATTAGTTAGGAGAATTTCTACATTTATTAACTTGCTTTTCCAAGCTACCATTAAACCACCCAATCTACCATGGCTTGGGATAGCAGCAAGCTTATCAAAACCCAGGGAAAGAAGGCACCGAAATTTATTTTCATTCTCGCATTTAGTTTCAGCAAGAACAAACAAGCTAGGCTTATATCTGTTAAAGACAGCTTTCAAATTCCGAGAGAGGCTTTTTCCATAGGCCCCTCTGGCATTCCAATAAAGGATGTAATCCATGGACAATTAAGCAGAACAAAAAAAGAGCCCAATTAATTCTCGATGGCCATTGCTGGAACAAACGACCCAATCTCCTGGTCACTTATCTCTACCTCATTTGGGCTTTGGCTTAAGTTACTTGGCCCATCTGAATTAGCTTTATTATCTGTTCTCGCATCATTAGGATCATGTGGCCATTGGGACCCTTCTGCGAGATACTCCATCTCTTTGTTCTCTTGTCCTATCTCGGTATATTCTCTCTCTTTCTCGCCGATAATTCCATCATGCCCAGTATCATCCTCTTTGGACTCTTCTAATGTAAGCATTTGAATCTCGTTGTTCCGAATATGGTTGGTAAACAATTCTCGTGAACTTTTCTCACGTCGACCCTCAATTTCTCTTGCCACCCTTGTCTCTACATTTGGTGCTGGGACCACTTCCAGGATACCTCCACTCCTTTTCTGTTGGCTCCTTTTCTGCACGTTCTTTTTGTTCCTCACACTCTGGACTGCATTGGCAAACGCACTATCATGCTGCACAAATTGTACGTTCTGATTCGCAGGTAAGACGTTATTTTCCATTTCTTTTGTTAAATCAATATTATTATCCATATCAGCAAGCAAATCAAACTGTATTCCAGAGCTCTGTTGCCTGAAAATGTCCCCCTGTTTCTCCTTCCCTTTTCGCTGTCGGCGTGTTTTCTGGACCACCCGCCACTGTTCATTTTCATTTATTACAATTCCATTTCCAGCAGTCTCTGGTTTTTGTCCTTCTGCAACTTCTTCTGCCTTATAGTTATCCCGATTCATTGTTGCTGTTTTCTTTGCCGGGCAAGTTTCAGAACGATGACCATAGACACCACAATTAACACATAGTGAGTGCAAACCTTCATGCTCCACGAAATACTCCTCTCTGTCTAAAGAGAAGCCTGACATCAACTGTTTTCCCAAATCAATTAGAACACAAATACGAGCATAGTGGCCTCTGAGTTGACATGAGGTGTTCACATCAACCTTTAAAGTTTCACCGATTCTGTTTCCAATGATAGTCAATGCTTCTTCATCATAATACTCAAGAGAGATTCTTGGAAGTCTCACCCAAACTGCAACTTTGTCAATGGTAGCTTTTGCTGGGTTAAACCTCGGTTCCTATGGCCTCACCGTGAGGTAATGATCATACAGCATCCATGGTCCGCTTGTCAAGGCATTAAAATAATCTTCTCTATTTGACATCTTCACTACAAAATAACCATAGCCTATATTGATTAGACTAATAACTCCTTTCCTCGCCCACAAGGCTTGTAGTCGGGATTCTAAAGCCTTGTATCCAATGTGCCTGTCTAGCAGCTTCACTATCACAGCCTTTTTCCAAGCCCTATAGAGTTTCTTCTTTAGTCTTCCAGAGAAATGGAACATCGGGAAGTTCCTTGTTGGATCCTCCCTTATTTTCACCAGTGGCTCCTTCTTCCCCTGTTCTAGTTCCAAACTATCAGAGAGCGAGTCCTCTGACATTTCATCATCGACTTCTTTTTCATCCTCAGTGCATTCTTCTTGCCTGTTAACACTTTTCAAAGTTTCTGCGAAGGAGAGACCAGTCTTTTGATAAGGTTTAGCCTTCGTCCCTAGCTTCGGCCATTGATCCATATTAGCTTCTTCGTTCGCATGCGGTGATACATTCTTGATCTTTTTTGAGCTCCTCATTAGTAGGTCATCTTCCTCAGCAGACTGAGGGATCCTGTTAGTGTTTTTTCCAGAGAGAACAATCGCCATGGTTCTTATCAAATGCTAATTCATTTGAACTTTTGGTTCCCCATTTTGGAGGTCAATTCTCCCTATTGTAACATTACGAGAAGTGTTGCATATTTTTGGAGCCCATACTTGATGGATCGGACAAAACCCAAAAGCCCAACTCGCTGTTCATCAGTCCATGAAGTGCTTTATCACTCTCTTTTTTTTTCAACGGGAAAATTCCAAAAAAAAAAAAATCGAAGGTGACCTGAATCTGTAAATTTCAATTTTTAAATCCGTTATAATGATTAAATTAAATTCTAAAATGTTGGTAAATTTACAATTTTTTTTTTTGAAAAAATCTTAAGTCATTCTTGGCTGCTATCAAAGTTTTTTTAAAGATTTTTTTCGACATTTATAATGTAACTCTTATAACAATACTCATATTTTCAAGACGTTGCGGAAGAGAGGCCCTTAACTAAAAGGATATATCTTATTAGTAACAGTAACATGAAAGAGGAGTACGAAGAACCTGATCCTGAACATCACATGTGGCAAACACACTATATATGATTAAAAAGCGAACCAGTAATTAAAGGGCTAGCTAGCAGCAGCACCACCCATTCTATTGTCAAACAGTTCCTATTCCTTAGTTTCTTAGTGCATGTATAGTCACGTTTCGGATTCCATCTCTCTAGCTAATCACAACCCAACTATATGGTTATTAGTTAAACGACCACTACGTTGCTGGAATATATGTTACTGTTGTGTGTGGAATTCGTTATAAAATTTTTACAAGATTGGCCAAACATGCGACACGTTTTGCTGTTTATTCCTTCTCTGCCTGCTTTTTTCATCACTCTTTTACTCTCTCTTTGACGACAGAGGTTTGGGGAAATAAAGGAACAAACAAACAAACAATAGAAATACATTTATAGTCTGTGGATGTCGCATTCATTCTCTTACGCCACCAATAGAGCGGCCTGCGGGGGCATCCTCAGAGACAAGACTAACGTGGTGGCGGAAGGCTTTCTCCTTAGAAGCATGCTAAGCAAAGAGTGGCAAGTTGAGCAAGGAATATATATATATATATATATATATATCCCTCAGGTCTTTCATTTCATTATCTGCAAGGACAAGAAATAAAAAAAATACTACATTCCTACTTAATATAAGAGCTAGTTGACTAATTTGAGTATATTAAAGAAATTAGTTAAGTTAATTATTTGTAATAAATAAATATTATATTTCCTAAAATATCCTTACTAAACAAGTGTATTGGCTAAAACTACTATTATTATTAGAAGAATTATTTTGAAAAAAAATAGATAAACATAAGAGACAAATTGAATTGAGGTCTCATATTTAGAACCAAAATAAGAGTCAAACGAGTTCTTATATTAAGAATTGGAGGTAATACTACATTGCTTTTCGCTGAAATTTGTACGTATAAGCTAATGGTTTATAACCATACTAGTAAGTTGTCTTTTCTTCCGTAAGAAGTAGATACGTTCTTACACCACTTTTATATTTAAGCCTCACGCACAGAGGTTGCACATATAGCAATGAGGTCCGTCCCACTCCCGAAAATTACATCGCAATTCGGGCTCTAATTAATTTTTCCCACTTAGTACATACATACATAGTATTAACCATTTAAAACTTTACCCTAGAGATTAAAATTCACAAATTTCGCTATTTTGATCACGTCTCTTGACTTGGTTTCATTCCTCGAGCAATAAACCAACTATACCAGTTACAAAAACCAATTATATTACATATAGTTGATATAATTAAATTGGCAGGTTCGTTTCTTTTTTAAAGCTAAATTAATTTAAAGGAACTTGTAACAAGTTTCAATTTATAATTGGTGCCCATCTCTATATTATAATCCACGCTTTCTTGCTATATACTACCTTTAGTCCTATTTGTAAGAGCTAGTTGACTAATTTGAGGAGATTAAGAAAAGAAGTTAAGTTAGTTATTTGAAATAAATAGATGTTGTCTTTCCTAAAATATCATTGCTAATCAAGTGTATTGGTTAGAATTACTATTATTAGAATGATTACTTTAGAAAAAAATGGATAAATATGAGAGACAAAGTAGATTGGGGTCTTATATTTAGAACCAAAATAAAAGTCAAATGAGGCTTTATATTAAGGACCGGAGGTAATATTAAGGAAGTTATATTGATTTATTGTGATGATAGCAGAATGTCTTTAAAATTTCGGTAGAAAAAAAGGTTTGATATTAGTAGTAAGAATTTCGAACCCATATGATATCTTTAAAAGATGTGAGTCGCAAATTGCGTACTAATATTGAGGTTATGATAATCATTCTATATATTTGCAATTTAATTTATGTCTAGAATGTTATGCTCCAGTTTAAAAAATTTTTTTTTTGCATTCTATATGATTTGTATTTACGGATTCGACCCTGTGACTTTGGGTATAAGTGGCCATAGCCTCTTCTTCCCCCCCCCCCCCACCAGCAGCCATAGCCTCTTTTACTAGCTGGGATGAATCTCTTACCGATATCAATTTAATCTACTAAATACCGAAGATAATATTTTTAACAACTATTAATTACTCGTATTGAGCACCCCTTTCCGACATACCATCTGATTTACTAATGAAGTTTTCTCTGTTGAGATCCTTCGCATCATATGCACAAGACTGGTCTCATGCAGGAGAGGGCCCTCTAAACAATTGAAACCTTAACTGAAACGATATTTTTATTTAGAGGAGGATCATCATGATAAATAGCCTCCTGATTACATACAAACGGTATTTTTATTTAGAGGAGGATCATCATGATGAATAGCCTCCTAATTACATACCGCGCGCACACACCATATCTAATAATTAAAGGGCTAATACTAGCCAGCAGCTAGCATTATCCTTAATAACAGAGATAGATAGATAGATAGATAGATCACCATTATGAGTCAATTAGCGTCCATTGTTCACATTAATGCAGCCATTGCGGTCGCCGTATGTAGTGCCACTGTTGTGAACAAAGTTGCCGCCGGCGGCGTTGTGGTAGTAAGGAGAATTGTAACGGTTGCCGGAATGAGAGCCGCTGTTGTAGTTGACGTCTCCGAAATTTTGAGCGCCTGATCCTCTGTTATTGAATGAGCCTTGAGTTCCACGGTTGTAGCCGCCGGCTTCTCTGCTGGCTTGAGCCTGAGCTTCATTTGCCTGCGGCTTCGACGGATGCTTTTTCTTCGGGTCAGTGGGTGGCTCTTGAGCCTGAGCTTCATTTGCCTGCGGCTTCGACGGATGCTTTTTCTTCGGCTCAGTGTGTGGCTCTTGAGCCTGAGCTTCATTTGCCTGCAACTTCCGCTGAAGCTTTTTCGCCGTCGTATTATGTGATGCCATCTGATATTATAGAGTTTCTTTGTTTTTCCGATGGTTTTGCTCGTCTCGCTTGCTTCGCCCGCGTTTTATAGATGCATTAACAAGAATCTGCACTGTGTCTCCTTCCTTAAGCAATAAGCTTTATGGTACAGATCCTTCTTTCTCCAATCGCTACCCAACTATGGTTACTTGATGGAATATGTTAGTGTAGTGTGAGGAATTCGTTATAAATTTACAAAGTAGGCCAACCATGCATGGACATGTTTTCCTTCTCTGGCTGCCCTTTTTTCATTCTTTTACTTTCATTGATACTTTCTTATTTTGAGGAGAGAGGTTTGGAGAAAAGAAACAAACAATAAAAACATTTTTGACAGAGACATAAATAATTAAGACATGTAGTAACGAGAGGGAGCAGATAAAACTTTGGAAACTCGTAGGAGGCTCATCCACATCTTTCTTTCTTCCTTTATATTTTTTCTTTTCTTGTATAGGTATAATATATATGTATCTTCGATTTTTAATATAAGATCTAGTTTGAAAAGTTACAATTTCTTTTCTTCTAAACAACACTTATAGGCTATAGCTGCATGTGGCCACTGCCGATGTAGAGGGTGACATATTGCTATGAGGTCAGTCACATGCATCAAAAAATTTGGATCCCAGGAATAAATTAGGTTTTAAATTTGTTTCTTTTCCTTTAGCACCGATAATAAATGATTCTCATCCACCCTCCATAAAAGCATATGATGCCTAATTTCATTTTTTTAAAGTTAGATTCTTGTTCACAAATAAAAGAACGAAGTTAGGTCGTTAAATGAAAGCATATACTGCTACAAGGCAGGTGTGTGAAGGAATCTTTAAGTTCTTCTGCAGTTCTGCCCATTGAGTCTTTTTTACGTTCATCCAAACCTACCAGACTGACCCTGATCATAACAAATTACTATATCTGCAAAAAACCATGTTTGGAAGAGCTATGCCCACTTAGGCTCAATAACGTTCAAATCTCATCCAATGAGATAGTCACATGAAAAAAGAAAAACTTCAACTTGGATTAGTCGTAATAGCTATAGTAGCCCCAAAAATACTTAGATGTGAAAGCGAAAAATATATATATATATATATATATATAGAGGTAATGATATATGTATTACTCACTTAATTATAAAACATTAACTAACAAAGCTTCTTTTTATGCTATATACAAACCACATTCGAAAACGTGTTGCTCCAACGACAGACACAACTGTTCTGCCGGTTAATATAGAATTTTTAGTTTTTGAATGTAATTTGTCTTTCTAAAACTTCTACCATATATATATATATATATATATATATCGCATTTAGGCATAATTTCTTATATTCTTTTTAATGTCCAATTTTTTAACTAATATAGAGGGAAGTTACATAATTTGAACATGATCAATATCAACCAATAATCAATAAAACTATTAGAGCCAAAGAAAATCACACACATACATTAAAAAGAAAAAAGATCGGGTACCTAAACTGAAGCCAACAGCTCATAAGGCATATTTCTGACATATACTTTCGACTGGTTGATTGGGAGTGTTGTGGCCAAAATTAAACAACGGAACTTTTCATTGAATGATATTTTACGTTATCTATGAATTAAATTTATACGTTCTCATCACTTATATTTTATCAATATTTAATTGATGAAAATTAGGCTTTTTCCTAGCCCTCAACTCACACCTAATCCTTCAAATTCATTTACTCACCAAAAATTAATATATATATATATATAATTGTTCAAGATTCAGAATGTCTAATGCGTTTTACTGAACTTGTTTAATGCAACACATCAAACAAGAGTATGATAATGCATTTTGAACGAACAGGTCAACATATAAAAAGCGACTTGATCGTAAGTCTTAATTTTGCAATCTCTATTTGATAGTTTGTTGTTATGACTAATTATATTGTTAAAAGAGACCCTTAAAAAACATAGATAATAAATATATATTGAAAAAATCATTCTTTAAAAGAAAATTCTATATCTTCTTCACATGTAGTGCTTTTCTTAAAAAATCAATAACAAACAATATATGCATAGGATTAACTCGAATCCTATATCCTGGCCTGTTTCTACATGTGGAGTTCTAACTAAATTAATTATATTATCGCAGAGAATTTTGTTAGCCCCCCAATTTTCTGTGCCCACTATCACGATGCATATATTCTTTCACGCTTTCATTTATATATATATGTATATATATTACTTCTTATCCTTAATATAAGAGCTAATTAATTAATTGGAGTAGATTAAAGAAATTAGCTAAGTTAGTTATTTATAATAAATAGGTGTTGTCTTTCCTAAAATATCATTACTAATAATATGTATTAATAAAACTGTCATTTAATAAAATATTTAATATGTGCAGCTTTTATAAGGACTACCGCAGAAAAATAGATAAATATGAAAGACAAAATAAATTGAGGTTTTATATTTAGGACCAAATTGAGAGTGAGACTAGCTTTTATATTATTATATATATAAAGGACTGGAGTTAGTGTGTGTGTATCCTATCAAACTATATGAGAGAAGGCAAACAATTTTACACAGCAAAAAAAAGTTTGAAGGCGGAACAGATTGAACCCAGCTAGATGGCCAATAAGGAGGATTTGATGCGCTGGTTCAGACTCCTTGGTCAGCAACCAGTTCCAGTGGAAACACATCCCCAGCATGGCGCCAACCTCACCGGCGCTGCCGTTCCTAAGGGAAGCCCCGTCGCAGCAGCACCTCTGGAACCGAACTTTCCTCCGGCCATGTTCAGCAACACCGGCACCGGCAACGGAAATGGTTCCATTATCTTCGGTTCCTTTGACACTTCGACCAGTATCGGCAGGAATTAATTAAGAAGAATTCAGTAATTAATGGTCTCCAGCCCCTTCTTCTAAAGCCTTAATAATAATCCTTTATGAATAACTATGCTTTAGTTTAGGGAACATGAATCTTGATCAACAAAGTTGATCGTCTGTAATGAATACGAGGTTCCTGTACCTCTATTTTTTGTAATAAAAATCTTTTCTTTTCGTGATATTATTTGAATACTCCCCCACTAGTTGTGTGTTGGGTTAATGCCCCATTTTTTTTTTTTTTAAATATAGAGGATCTGAAAACAGTAACACTTTCTATCAAAATAGCTCAAGCAAATTAGATAGGTCTTCTCTGAAAGCTATATGGACGTTCAATTTCTCAGCCGATATTCACCCGTAAATGACACGAATAAGACTGAGATTTCATGCACCAAGGCAACTCTAAAACGTTGGATTACACACACACTTAGTCTATTGAATCCTTGATCATACTCCTCCAGTCCTAAATATAGGATATATTTATAGTGTAATTTACTCTCTAAAACAAGTCTTACATTTAGAACGGAAAGGAGTAGTATTTATTAACGACATGAAAGAAGAGGCTGGCTGAATTAGAAGCTGGAGGCACAAAGCAGACGTTTGTCAGATTGATTTAGTTATTTTTTGTTCGACTAATGCCCCATTTGTTAAAAAAGAAAGTGATTAATTGAGAATTTTGGTTAATTAGTTAGAAATTTCTATAATTTTTTAGTGATATTAGGAAGAAAAATATTAATACTCTAAACAACACGTATAGTAGGACCAAATTGAATAATTAACTAGTTTTTATATTAAAAATCGAAGGTAGTATAGGTTTTGTATTCAAATAAATTTCAACTTGAAACTTTGTGTCTAAATAGTCATAGAAGTTTTTACTAGGTGAATCAACTCATTGGTATTAAGCAACATAAGTATTATATGATCTTTTTACAAATTAAGTTATATTGATGCAACTTCGAAACCTGGCAGAAGAGAGACCCTTAGAGTGTGTTTGGTATGAGGAATTTGGGAGGGACGGGAGGGCAGGAGAGGGATTTTAATCATTTCCCTTTATTTGGCAACACACAAATTTTAGGAGGGGAGGAAAATTTTTTTAAAATTTTCCCTCCCCTCCCCTCCTCAACCTCCCCTCCAAAATTGGGAGGATTGGGAGGGAAAGGACAATATTTTGTCATGTTGTGACCATTATACCCATATTTTGTCATGTTGTGACCATTATGTCTATATTTTGTCATGTTGTGACCATTATGCCCATATCTTAAATAAAATAAGAGTAAAATTGTCCACATTAAAATATTTTTCCCTCCCCTCCCTTCTTTTTTTATAAATCCAAACAAGATAATATTAAAATCCTTCCACTCTCCTCCCCTCTCCTTCTCTCCATTAAAATCCCTCTCCTCTCTTTCCTCTCATTGAGCCAAACAGACACTTAAACAATCAGACCTCTAAACTGAAACGATATATCTTATTAGTAACAATAACATGGAAGTGGAGGATGGAGAACCTCCTGATTACATGTGGCACACACTATAATTAAGGAGTAAACCGGTTATTAAAGGGCTAGCTAGAGTCATCACCCTTTCTATGATCATATATATAGTTCTTAATGATTATTCATTAATACAGATAGATAGACAGATCACCGTTATGAGTTGATTAGCGTCCATTGTTCACAATGCAGCCGTTGCCGTCGCCGTATGTAGTGCCACTGTTGTGAACAAAGTTGCCACCGGCGGCGTTGTGGTAGTAAGGAGAACTGTAACGGTTGCCGGAATAATTGCCGCTGTTGTAGTTAACGTCTCTGAAATTTTGAGAGCCCGGTCCGCTGTTATTGAATGAGCCGTGAGTTCCACTGTTGTAGCCTCCGGCTGATCTGCTTGCCTGGGCCTGAGCCTCGTTTCCCGGCATCATCCCGAGAAGCCTTCTCTTCATCATCAGCTCCGATTCCATTTGATCTCACCGGCGATAGAGTTCCTCGATCACTGATATAATATTATTACTTTGATTCTTTTCTGGCTTTGATCGATCGGTGTCTCGTCTCGCTTGCTTCGCCAGCGTTGTATAGATGCAGCAACCAGAATCTGTACTGTTTCCTTCCTTCAACTCGAAGCTCTGGGGTATCTTTTTTTCTTAGTTCATGTATGGTCACGTTTCCGATTCCATATCTCTAGTAATC